AGCGGTCCTCCTCTGGGGTCCAGGTCGGGGCAGTAAGGGGTGCCGTGCAGGGACGGGGAGCCCGGCGACGGGCGAGACCCTCATCCCCCGCGTAGGACAGCCGGCCGGATGAGCCAGTGCAGCTTGGAGCAGGCGGGAGACCAGGGGGGTAGCTCTGGATTTGTCACCAGCTGTGAGGGCTCCCTCCCTGCTCTGAGCCTCAGATTCCGGTCTGTGTGACTGAGAAAGTGATCTCTCCCTTGCCTGCCTCCCAAGGACAGTTCCAGAAGCCAGGGCGCTTCACGGGTAGTAGCAGCGGCTGAGCTGGAGCACCTGGGTCATATCAACTGCTCTTTACCTCAGACCCTCAAAGCCCTCTAGACCCTGCGGCTTGGTGTCAAGCTCTGTGAGGGCAGGTGTGTGTTCACCGGGGCCTGGGGCACAGGCAAGGTTGTAGAAAATGCAGATCCTGGAGGACTGCACTCATGGCGCTGTGTGACTGTCACCCCATTTCGCAGATCAGAAAACAGGCACCGAGAGCGTAAGCGATTCATCTGAATTCCCGCAGCGGAGCCAGAGCTGAGTAGCGGAGGGCTCTTGGCCCCACATCGTGCAGGAAGCCAAGGAGAGAAAAGGTGTGGGGCCAGTGGCTGCTCCAGGCCTCGGGGGCCATGCCTGCCTCCTCCCACAGATCCCTGTCCCCGGGAGGCGGCCTTGAGTGTCCCCACTCCATGGCACAGCTGGTGAGCCTTCCAGTCGAAAAGCTGTGTTTCTACGTGGTCCCATGGGCATGAACCCGTGAGCATCTGCCCCCTAGCAGTGTCCGCCTCCGTGTCGTCCTGCGCAGATGTGCACGTGATGGAGTGCACGTGCGCCACATCGGCTTTGTCCCCTCTGCACCCAGAGCCAGCCCAGTGCCTGCCAAACTGTCGGCTCTGCAGGTATTTGTCTGGGGCTGAGAGGAGACTTTTAGTCTTGACTTTCATGCCCAGTGGTCACTGGCTCCTTTGTTCTCTCTGACACCAGCGACAGCCCCACCCCCTACCCAGGACCCCCATCTTCGTCTCGAGGATTCCAGCCCACTCACCTGTGTCATCGGAGACGCTGGGCCTCTGGCTGCCAGCCGGGGAGCGTAGAACGTCATCGCTGTACATGAGGAAGCTTTCATAGTCTCCCCCACTCTGGGCGTCCACAATGGGGATGTCCGGGATGATGGGGACTGTACGGGTGGGCAGTGGTGAGTCAGGGCCCCAGCCTTGGCCTCCCATCCTCCCCGTCTTCCCTGAGCCTCCCCGCCCACCACTTACTGGACATGGGCCGCTTGGGCTGGGTGGCCAGGTTGATGATGGCCTCTCGCTCGGGTCCCCAGCCCGCCCCGTTTCGTGCCTTCACTGTGTAGCGGTACGGCTGGGACTCCCGCAGGTTCTCGATGAGGAGCATCCGCCTCTTGGGGCCGTCCACCAGCACCTTCTTCATGGGCCCGATGGGTCCTGGGGCAGGGAGAGTGCTTCAGAGCGGTCATCCAGGTTCCGACCCGGTCCCGGGCCTGCCTCTGACACAGGACTGCCTGCCGCACAACCAGGGGTCTCGGGGGACAAGGCAGGGAGGGAGCAGCTGTGGACCCCCTGCGGCATGCATGCCAAGCCCAGAACCTGGGCGTGACTGGTATAGAGAAGTGCCACCAACTCTCCAAAGGGCTCGTCGCTAAGGTAAGTGACAGAGCCAGGACGAGACTCAAGTTGGCCCCAGTGTCACCTCTACTGACTGATAAATGGTACTGTGTCTTGCTCCAGATTGAGGGCGCTCTCAGCGCCTGTGCCTCACTGTCCACAACCAAACCCCAGACGCTCTGTTGAGACATGCGAACGCCCACCCGGCTACCCTGTGGTCGGTCACATGGCAGGGATGGGAGGAGAGAGGCCGGCTCAAGGGAGCTTCACTTCTGGAAAGGCTGAGGCTGTGAGAGCTAAGGGTTGTACAGGAGGGCCCCGGGCAGAGCAGAGGTTGTACAGGAGGCCCCCGGGCGTCACCTCAACCGAGAGCAGAGGCCAAGCAGTTCTCCTCCACTCACACCTAGAAAGGTGGACACATAGCCCCCGGAGAAAGGAGGAGGACACCCCCAGCTGCTCTGAGCGAGTTACGGCCCCTAGGCCCAGGTGTGATGAGCCGGGGCTGGCCATGTTGGGAGATTCCTGGGAGACTAGAGAAATTCCCAGTTTCCAAAGAGATCCAAAGGAGGGTTCTGGAAAATGACACCTGATAAGCTTGATGTCCACCCCCAGCAAATGACTGGGGAGGTCTCTAACCGCAAGACGGGGGCTGCCCCTGGCCCACCCCTCGCATCTGTCAGCCAATGGGAGAAGGGAGGAGGGCACCAACATGCGATGCCCTCAGCCCCGGGGGTCCTATCTGCAACTCGGGCTGAAGCCTTGGGCTGAAACCATCAGGGATGAACCTTCGTGGAGATACGTGTCACTCCTGGGATTAAAGGCAGGGTCAGAAGAGACTTCCTGACCGTGGTCCACGCACAGACAGGTGTTGTAAACTCAGAATGAGCCAAGGACGTGAGCACTGCTCAGAAGGTTATGCTCGGTCTGCGTGGCTAGTAAGAAGCCACGAGCCTGACGCCCAGAACTATCCAACCCCACTGCCCTCTGCCCTGCTGGGCCACCTGGGGGTCCTGAGCCTGACTCATTTAGGGGCCATGTGTTGTATGGGAGCGGTGAGCGCTCCATCCCTGGGACTGACCAAGCAGAGATGAGGGTTCGAGGAGGTGGTCCCTGCGCGGGGTGAGAAGGGACTACTTCCTTTGACTACTTCCTCATCTGGACCATTGGCAGGGGTCGCCCACCCTCCCCTCCCTTCCAGGACGAAAAAGAAAGAACAGATCTGCCAGATGCTCTGGCCTAGGGCCGCCAGATAAAATATTGCATAAAATATACAAGAAAAAAATTTTTTTTCTGAAATTTAGGGCATCCTCTGCTTCAGATTTATTTGCTAAATCTGGCAACTCTACTTTGGCCCTAAGAGAACGGTGTGAAAATGAGCCACTCTGGCTACGTGTATGGGAAGGTACCCCTGCCCATGAGCCCATTGTGCATGTATAATCTCAGGCCTCCGACCCCACCGGCCCTGGAAGCTTGGCCTTGGCCAAACGTGACAGCAAGCATAAGGGGGCTCATCCACTGACCAGGACAACACGGCCTCCTCCCCGCTCTTTGACCCCTCCCCTTCCACGGTTGCTGTCCCTGGGGGCAGGAGGGGTCCAGGCTCTTACGGTTGTCCTCGTTGACCAGGCCGTAGCAGACCTCATAGGCCGTGATCTCGCCATTGGTTTCGGCTGGCTCAGCCCAGCTCAGTTGGGTCACGGTGGAGGAGACGACGTTGAAAGCCAGACGCCCCGGCTCACTGGGTACTGGGGGTGAGGGGGTGCAGGAAGAGCGCCGTCAATGGCAGAGAGAGGGCGGAGTTCTGGGAGGTAGGGGGCGGGGCTAGGCGCGGATGCGGATGGTCACCGCGAGGCCTCACCTTCCTGGTGGGTGCGGCAGGACACCAGGGAGCTGTAGGGACCCTCGCCCTGCGCCCCGTAGGCGCACACCTTCATCTCGTAGTCGCAATACGGGTACAGGTTGGTGAGCTCCACTGAGGGCACCTTGCTGTCGAGCAGGTGGGCTTCAGACTCAGAGTCACCCTGGATCCAGTACTTCACCTGCTCCCGGGGGAGGGGCTGGTCAGTGGAGAGTGGCAAGAGCCAGAACTGCCTGTCCTTCCATCGACCTCCCGGCTAGGGCAGAGCAGGGGTATCTCATGCCTGGGGTGAGGGGTGCATTCCAGAAAGGAGGCTGAATGTCTGAAAACTCCACGGGCACGGATAGGGGTTCCCCCGTCCACTCGTGCCCTGCCTGCGGGGGCCAAGCATGCCCTCTTTGGTGGCCCTCTGCCTTGGGAGGCCACCTCCCCAGTGGGGTCCAGGCCTCACCATCTAGCTCCCTCAGGGCCCCCTCACCTTACCCTGTAACCTGCTGGTTTGCCAGGAGGGGGCAGCCAGTTGAAGTGGATCTTCCGGGACCCAGCAGCCTTGGCATTGGGGTTCTGTGGGGCGCCCAGGTCACCACGAGGGGATGAGAGTGATGACAAGGTCTGGCTCTTGAAGTTCCTGTCCAGGTCGTCTGTAGTGGGCAGGGCAGCCGGCTCAGATACCCTTTTGAGGGGTGCAGGAACCCAACCTCACCACCAGAGGGCGTTAGGCACTCAGCTGAACACCCAAGACTCCTTTCCAGCAGGGCTCAACTGACACCTGCCCTGAGTCTCTTGGTGGCTGGTGTCCCCACTGGTGCTGCAGAGGGCATCGCGCCAAGTTGGTGGAGGGCCCAGAAGGGTCTCTGGGGGAATGAGGCTTAGGAGGGAGATTGTCTGCCTCTCTTTCTCCCTCGGTAGCCAAGGGAATGTTCCACATGAGGACATTTGCTCCTTCTCTCCCCACCTAGGTTTCTCCCTCCTCTTCCATCTCCCCCTGCAAGCCTCCGCTGGGGATGGGCTCACAGACACCACCACACCGGAGGCTGAGGACCTGCAAGAATTGTTTCACCCCTTCCGGAAACACCTGCATTTTAGTTGAAACTAAGGCTGAAGTCAAAAGGCTGAGCCTAAGGGTGGGATCCATGGTACCCCCAGCAGACTGGTGGCCACAACAGGACTCCAGCCCTTCTGGTTGAGAGTGTAAGTGCCAGATAAAATGCAGGATGCCTACCTAGTTAAATCGGAATTTCAAATAAATACCAAATATTTTTAAAGGATAAATATATCCCAGATACCGCATGGGAAATATTTATAGCGCAAATGTGTTGGCTCTTTATCTGGAATTGAAATTTAATTGGGCATCCTGTATTTTCACTTGCTAAGATCGGCAGCCTTTTTGGAGAGGGCCCCAGTCCTCCCTCCCCACCTGCTTAAGCTGACCCCGGGCTCTGCCCACCTTGGTCCCCGATGATGACAGTGGCTGAGTGGGGCTGGCCCAGGCGGGCCCCAAACTTGGGGTTGCTGAGCTGGATGTGGAAGCGGCGGGTCTGGCGGCCCCTCAGGAGGGAGTCCATCTCCTGCAGCTCCAGGAGCTTCACCTGTATCTCCTTCCAGGTCTCCCCAGGCTGGAACAGCAGCTCGCCCTCTGAGGGGACGTAGTCCTGGGAATGGGAAGGGGTCAGACCAGGCCCCGGGGGTGAGTCACGGCCACATGCTCCACCCCAACCTCATGGATACTGCAGAAACCACCATACACAGACTGTCCCACATGAACACACGAAATGGTTCAAGTTCATATAGCACCCCCTGTGCATCACGTAGGAAATATTAGCTCGTTTAATTCTCACAGCTGTGTGAGGTACAGAGATGACTGTCCAGATTTTATAGATGGAGAACTGAAGCATGCAGAGGTGAAGAGACTTGCTGCTTCTCTGGGATCTGAACCAAGGCACAGAGAGAGACAGGGATGCACAACAGATCTAGAGAGTCCCACACAGGCAGGCTGTCATTCTGGGGGAGCTGAGATTTGCAGGGCCCTCCCAGGGTGGGAAGAACTGTGCCCCCACACTGTGGCTCTGAAGCCTAGGATTCTGCCAGGCCCCAGGTGCCTCTGGGTGGGGCACGTCCATCAGCTCCAGCTTCCTACTTTTAATGCCCCAGAGCTTTGCTGAGTGTCCCAGGATGAGTGTGTCTGTCTGTGCGTACATGCGTGCAGTGAAACGTGCAGGGATGCGTGAGAACGCCTTTTCACATGTGACCACGAGGTGGCGCTCCACAGCAACATTTCAATTCCAGGCAGGGCCAGCCAGGCCTGCTGTGCGGACCCGGCAAATTCAAATGCTACAAAACCCAGAAAGTGAGCCAGCAAGTGTAAGAAAAGCAGGAGTCGCCTGCAAGACAGCCGACCTCGCCTGAGGGTCGCTTCAAAAATGTCAAAGGCAAACAAGACAGAGCCGGGGAACTGTTTTAGATTAGAGGAGACTAAAGACGTGACCGCAAAATGCAATGCCAGATCCTTGGTTCCTGGATTGAGGAGGAAAAGCTATCGAGGACACGTCAGGACATGGGAACATGGGAGATCTGAATATGGACTAATTATCAGGTACTAATACGATGCGAAATTCCCTCAGGTCGGTAATTATGGTGTAGTTTTGTAGAATGATCTCACAGGTGCCTGTGGAAGTGTTCAGGGTCTACATGAAGTTTACGACTTTGAATAGTTCAGTAGATAGAACTAAACGAAACACAACTGCTTTCCTTCCTGTCTGCAGTCACAGTTAACTACAGACCTGGAGCTACATCTGTATCTATATCACGCAAGTCTACGTATGTCTCTGTAGAAAGAGAAAGCAGATATTAACAACTGGTGGATCCATGGAAAGGGGTAAATAGATGCTAATTTCATTAATTTTTCCATTTTTCAGTAGGCTTAAAGTTTTCCAAAATAAATCATTGGAAAATAATAAAAATATTTTAAAAAGAGTTAAATACCAAAACATCTTCGTAAAAGCGTAACAAAATAACCAGAATCTCTCATATAATATGGCCTATTCAGTGAAATTTCTGGACATACAAATTCTTCTTTGGCGTTTTCACTGGGAGGTGTGGAGCAGCAATGAAAACTATTCCTAGCAATTTAAAGAAGAATCGGGTGTGGCCGGGGGCTGGGACCTGCTGAGCTCACGCTCTCCTGCATTTGCTAGGAGGGCCTGCGGGCCCAGTGAGACAAGACTTCATTACTTTTCGAGTGAATTTTTGATATGAATATTTTTAGTTCTTAAATGTTGGGAATAAACTCAGAAAAAGAGACAAAAAAACCCGTAGGCCAAACCAGGGCAAAGTCTACTGCCGGGCTTGGCTGCTCCTCGGGACTGGGGCCCAGTGACAAAGGGGACACAGGCTCACGCATTCACACCTCTGCCCTGAGAGGCTGCTCCTGAGGCTTGGCCCTGGGGAGGGCTGCCAAGCAGCAGTCACAGCCCTCAGGGGGTCTACCCGGGGGACAGGGGGCTGCGATCTCACCTCAAGAGCTGCGGCAAATGGGGGTGTGCATTCCTCTAGGAAGGGTTTGGGACAGGGGCCACGCATAGTCTGGACATGTCCCTGGCCTCAGTCCCTGGCAGCCATGTGGCATCACCCATGCATGGTGTCACTGGCACTTTTGATGAGCAAGATACCCCTGCTGCAGGGTGGGAGGCACAGGTGGGTGTGTCCTTGGGAGGACAGCCAGGGGCACCGCCAGCATCCAGGGACTCAGGCAGCTGCCCTGTCCCGCTCCCACTGGGCCCTGGGATCACCTGTGACCCCGGGATGGAGCCTTACCCGGTGGCCCTTTGCGGTGACGTCCTGTGTGCGGTACGAGACCTGAGACTTGCCGCTGTCCAGGATGCGCCGGACGACGGGAACGCGGGCCACTTGCTCCCCGCCGCTGACCAAGTACTCTGGCTGCTCAAAGGACACTATCCCGCTGGCTGCAGGGGGCCCGGGCAACAGTCAGGGGGGCCTGGCCTCGGTCCCTTCTCAACTCCCGCCCTCCCTCTGGCCCAGCCCAGCCCAGCCCAGACTCCAGGAGTCTGCTCATTGCCCTGGCCCCCACCCACTCCGTGGGGAGGGCAGAGGAAGGGGACGGAAAATTTCTCCAGAAAAAGTTGAGGGGCTGGAACAGTGTCGAACAGACATCTCAGAGGGATCGGGGCAGAGAAAAGAGGCCAGGTGGGGGTGCAGCCTGAGAGGAGGCCCTGAGCCCAGGGAGCAGGTAGGGAAGGCGGTGTGGATGGCTGGTGCAATGCCTTGCCTACCCTCTAGATGGGTTTGGGCAAAGTGAACCTCCAATTCCTTCCTGCTCTGATGTCCTTGCATCCTAGAGAAGCCCATTCAATACCCCCCAGTTCAAAGGCCAGATGGGAAAGAAGAGGGGAGGAATGTGGGGTGGCTGCAGGAGGACCCAGCCCCCTGGGATTATAACAGAAGCCCCCACATTGAGCGCTTGCTACCAGAAACCGTGCAGAGCTGGGACCCTCACAAGAGCCTGATGCTCATTTTACAGATGGAGAAACCAAGACTCAGAGAGGTTAAGTGGGCCACACGGCCAGGCCTCACTTCCACATGGATAACAAGGGGCCCCAGAGCCCCCTTTGTGCACCTCGCTTCACCAGCCCTGACCCACCTTGCTCCTTGATGATGGTGATGTTTACCAGGCGGCGGCCCAGGGTGGCTGTGCCCATGGGCACATCGATGGCTTCCACCAGCAGCTGCTTCTCGTCATCATCCTCGGGCCGGACAAAGAGGGGCACCCGCACGTCCACCAGCTCCACGCCCTCCTGGAACTCCACCATGCCCCGGGCGTCTGTGCGGGTGTGGCGGGGAGGGGGGCGGTCAGACAGGGGGCAGGAGCCACGCGGGGGTGGGGGGAGGGTGTCAGGGAGCCGTGAGGGGAGCCTGCCCACCTACCCTGGTCTGCAGTGAGGGTGTAGTAGCCGGGGGCCACCTTGAGCTCGTGGAAAGCCCCCTGTGCCACGTGCTTCTCCGTCAGCTTCAGCAGGGACTGCTTGGCCGAGCGCGGTGCCATGAGCACCGTGTCCACGATGGTGTGGTCCTGCCTGGGGGTGTCAGGTGGGGAGGTGTCAGGCTGGCCAGGAGGCTAGCACTTGTCCCTGCCCACCCCTCCTGCCTGTCTTCTCCCTATCAAGGGACAAGATACGGGGCAGAAAGAAAGGGCAGTGTCTCCTGAACCAGGCAGTCACGGAGGCCCGTGCCGGTCCCACCACCTCGCCCTGTGGCCGCACCAAGTCCCCACACCCCCCTGACCCTCAGCGTCCTCATCCATGAAATGCGGCTACCCAGCAGAGATGCTGAGGGTGTAGGTGCTGACGCCAGACTGCCTGGGTTCAAACCCTGGACCTGTTTCTTAATTGTAACCTTGGCGAGTTACCTAACCTCTCTGAGCCTTGGTTTCCTCATCTATAAAATGGGAAGAGCAATGGTATCTCCCCAGCCGGGTTGATGAGATGGTTGGATTAGATGACCGTGCTCGCGAAGCCCTCAGAACAAAGCCCGGCCTGTCGTCAGCAGTCCAAACGGCTCTTACTGACGGTGGGGTGCTCAGGGGAGCTGTATTCATTATTGCACAGTTCTGTTCTCTCTGCATTGAGCAACGCCCCCACCCCCAGCTCTCCCCCTGCAGGGCTAGGTCTCAGGGTAGGAAATGGTGTGTGACCCGCTGGACTCCAGAGGAGGGAGGGAGCTGGGCACGGGGACACCCTGGTCCTGTGTGGTCCACCTGCTTGTACAGGGGCTGGCTCATGGTGAGGGCTTCACATCAGTATTTCTTGAGTGGAGGTCCCCACTCATGACAGACACATATGGCCCTCCCTTCCTCTGGGATGGAGATGGGGCAGGGAGTGGAGTGGGAGGCAGATGGCTGGGACTGGGGCTGCCCCACCCGTGTGTCTTCGACTCACTTTTTCCCAGCGTTGGGCTGCTGCCTGTGGGGGACAAAGAGGGGACTGTGAGCCAGGTGGTCCCTGGGGCAGCTCCTCCACCCACCTCAGGCACCCAAGACCCACCGGAATTTCGTGTGCTGGAGCTTGTGGGCGCCTGCGACCTGTCTGTACACCTCATTCAGCTGCCAGGCAAAGGGGGGCCGTGAGGCTGAGGCGCTGGGTGAGCCTCCCCACCCAGAGCCCCCCGGGCCCAGAGGACCTCTCAGGGTTGGCTGGGGGCATGCCCACGGCCTCGTCCCCGTCAGCAAACATTCACGGGGAACAGACCCCAGGATGACTTCACACCAGGCAAACATCGAAGGGAGCCCCTCTTTCCTACCTGGAAAAACCCAGGTTCCCCGGCTGCTTTCCTGTCGCCCTCCCACCCACCCGCACCGCGCCCGTGCCCAGACGTGCCGGCTGCCCAGGGATGGGCTCCTTCGGCCCTTACGTTCTCCTCCACCTCCTGGCGGAGCTGGTCACACTCTCGCGTGTCAGGCTTCAGCAGGTTCTCGGTGCAGAGGCGGGCAAGGCGCAGCGACAGCCCGTAGGGCACTAAGGGCAGGCAGGGGCGGGGGTCGTCAGCCCCCTGCACGGCGGGCACCACAGCAGCCCCTCCAGGAGGCATGCCAGGACGGGGGGCGAGCGGCTGGCTGGGCGCCTGAGGCCTGCAGTGCCATCAGGAAGGACAGAGAGTGACCAGGCCTGTGCCTGCACCCAACACCCAGAGAACACAGGAACAGCGTGATTCTGGACCCGGGAACAGCAGTGCACGTGCCCCAGGCCCTGAGGGCAGCACGGAGCACGGCCACGCCCAGCCCCGGCCCTCACCCAGCTCCGTGGGGTTGGTGCTGGCGGCATGGGTGGCAAAGCCAGGCCGCTGCACGTTGTTGGTGACCTTCCAGCGGACCATGTCACGCCCCTTGAGGTTCCCACTCCGCAGCATGGGTGTGTCCAGGTGGTCTGAGGCCATCAGGTTCTCCCGCAGCATGTAGTGGTCTTCCTTGAAGCCCACCATGTGACCTGTGGGACAGGGTTCTCAGCATGGGACCTCTCTCCAGGCCCTCCCTGCCACACACCCTCCGGTGGGACCCCAGGGCCTCCCGCCTCTGCTCCAGGCTCGGCCCTCATTTCCCCCTCACCGGCCCTGCCAACGCCAGCCCGTACCTCGGTTGCAGCAAGGGAGAAGTCCCAGGCAGGCCTAGGGGACAAGGGGTGGAGATGAGATCTGGGACAGCTGCCAGCTCGGGTAAGCCCCTCGAGTCACCACCTCCCCACCCACGCCAATGATTTGGAGGGGCCACAGTGGACCCCCCCAGACCCCAGGATATCCAGGCAGTCTCAGAGATCTAGGTGTGGGGCACAGAAGGTGGGGACAGAGGGTTCCTAAAATTTGTGCCATGGGGTGCGTGGTCCCGCCAGATGCTCTATGAGGTTCTGCGATCAAACCCATTTAGGAAGCACTGGATTCATTCCCCACGGCCCCCGCGCAGTTTCACTGGCATGCAACTAGATCGAAGGCTCTGAGAAGTCCTGCAGAAGCCCTGAGATCAAATGTATTTGATGGCGGAACTTTTCCTCTGTAACACACTAACATCCACAACATGGAGGTTACCACACGGTATCGCCTCTGCCCCCTACAGTTCAGTGTCCCATGCCGTGCCTCCCTCTACGCCTTCCTGTCTCTGGTCTGGTCTCAACAAAACTGTCAGGTCCTGGTGGGCAGGGCCCTCCCTTCCCTGCTGGCTCCCATGGTCCTTTGCATGTGGCTGACCCCGGGACAGGTGATCTCAGGTATCCAGCGGCTCATGGCCGGCAGAGGCGAGGGGCTGGGGAGGACGTGGGTTGGCCTGGCCTCTGCCACCTGGGAGGACCTCAGCAGGGCAGTGGGGACGCTGGTGAGGGGTGGGGACCCCGGGGGCGCTGTCACCTTGCAGCAGGCACAGTATTTCCAGCAGAGCAGCAGCAGCAGTGCCAGCAGCAGCAAGAGGAAGATGAGCAGGGGGATGAGCCACCAGAAGGAGCCGGGAGGGCAGTCTGGGAAGGAAGGAGGAAGAGGAGGATGGCGGTTCCCATCCCCAGCCGGGCTCCGATGCCCCCGCGCCCCGCCCCCGCCGGCAAAAAACTGCCCCCGCCCCCGCCGCCGGCTCACCCTTCTGCCTGTGCACCAGGACGGTGCTGTTGGGCCCGGGGGCGCCGTCGCCCTCCACGGTGTAGCTGTAACTGCAGTCGTCGTCCTCGTCCCGGAAGGAGCAGTACTCCACCACCTCCTCCGCTGCACCCACACACGGTCAGAGGGCACCCCCACCCCACACCCCAGCACCCCAGGGCCCAGAGAGGTGTCCCCTACTCCGGGGCCCACCCGGCCCATGACAGGGCAGGAGGCGCCTCCCTGGGGAAGAAGTTAGTCCCCTGGCACGGGGGTGGGGCCCTGCCCTGCCCAGGAGCACGAAGGGCTGCAAATCTGGGCCACCACCTCCCCGTCCTGAGCATCGCCCAGGAGCTGGGCTTCTAGAACATTCATTTGGCCTAGAGGAGAGCAGGCTGCGTGGCCCCACGGCCCGGTTATATACCCCTGCTGTGTTCATGTCCTTGCCCAGCTATCTGTCACCTGCCCAAGCCTGGTGCCCCCTCCCCAGACTCTTTGGTCCCTAATCAGGTGTGCCCCCTGCCTGGGTCTGTCTGCCCCGGCCAGACCACGTGTCCCCTGCCTGGATTTCGTGACCTCCGCGAAGTCTGGAACCTCTGCCTGGATTTCTTGACCTCGACGTGGATGACGAGCCCCAGGCCCAGATACATGACATCCCCTGTCTCATTGGGCGCCCCCCTGCCCGGGGTCTCAGCACCCCTGGTCCTGGGCCCCTGCCCCGTACCATTCTTCAGCTCATCCACCATCTTGACTTTGAAGCTGCACTCCGCACACGTGCGCCCCTTCTTCTCTCCCGTGCCCCAGGCCTGGCACTGCACGCAGGAGCGCAGGTCCTCACAGAGGCCCAGACGGACCTGGCGGGGGCGCAGACGGGCACCGTGCTGGACAGGCCTCTGGCAGGCCCACTCACCCAACCTCACGCCCTTGCTCTGCCCCTACGGCACCAGGCTCGGCCCCTCCTGTCCGCCCCGCCCCGTGCCCGGGGTTCCAGTGCCCACACCCCAGCAATCCTGGCCTTACCGCTGAGTAGTTGATCTCGCAAATGGTGTCTGTGTAGAGGGACTGCTGGTTGCAGTGGCAGCGGCCACACTCGCAGTGGCCACGCCCATTACAGATGCCCTGAGGCAGGAGGAGGCACCAGTGAACTGGCTGCACCCTCACCCCTGCACCCTCACCGGGGCCCCCTCTGCCACCCAACCCACCGCCTGCCTCATGCTCAGGCCTACCCCGTTGCTGTCGATGCAGGTGGCATTGCTGAGGGGACAGTCACAGCTCGGGCCTGTCCAGCCAGGCTCACACACACACTGGCCCATGGAGCAGCGTCCCCGGTCTGCCAGAGGAGCAGGGAAGGGAGAGGAGAGCCCATTCACACCTGCAGTCCAGGCTGCCCACCTGCCAGGAAGGGCCTGTGGGAGGTGAGCCTTGGGAGCAGGGAGGTCTCCAGCCCTGGGCAGAACCATCTCTTCCTCGATTTCTTAGAATTTCCTTCCCTCCATCTGTCTCCCTCCTTCCCACCTCCCACCTTCCTTTCTGCAGCCAGAGTGACCATCCCGAAACACAAATTCACTTGTGTGGCTCCCCTATTTAAGAACCACTGATGAGTCTTGGCCAATGCAATAAGATAAGAAAAAGGAATAAAATACATAAGTATTGGAAAAGTAAGAAACAAAACTGTCATTACTTTCAAGTTATCAGGAACATGTCACAACATATCAAGAAGATGCAACAGATAAATTGTTAGATTTCAAAAGTGAGTTTAGCAAGGTGTCTGGATACAAGGTTAACATACAAATAGCTAGAAAATGAAATCAAAACCTCCAATGACTCCCTTTTGCCCAAAGGATAAAGTCCAATACCCTCAGACTAGAATAAGTGTTGATTAGCTATGGCCTGCAGGCCCATCCACCCCCCTGTTTTTGTAAAAGTTTTACTGGAACACAGCTACACTCATTTGCTTACGTATTGTCTATAGCTGCTTTCTGCTACAATGCAGAGCTGAGTTGTTACGACTGTGGCCATACTGCTCACAAAGCTGAAAAAGTTTCCTGGCCCTTTAAGAAAAAGTTTGGGCTAGACTAGAAGTGGAGCAGCCTTGGAGAGGAAGCCAAACCCTCGCATTCCGGCCTTGCCTCCCTCCCCAGTAAGATCTCCCTCCCCTCCCCCTCCCGGTTCTGCCTGTGCCACACGCCTGCCTTTCTCCAGATGCGCTGGGTTCTCCTCCCATTTCTCGGGGCACGCTCTGGATAGACAGTTGGAGAGATGTCGGACAAAAGCAAGAATGGACGACAGGATAGAAAAGGAGGGGCCCGACCCCCAGTGGCAAGTATATAGTCGGGGCTTTATAAGTATTTGATGAGTGTATTTTCATTCATCCTCCCCCATTCAACCATTCGATCCTTCCACGTGGCAGCTGTCTGGGTTCTGTGATCCCTGCCCAGCTCAGAAGCTCTGGCCAGACTCTGTGCCCATGGCCTGGGCCACACTGTGTTAGGCCCTGTGGGGCTACGAAGGGCACGTGACTTCAGGCTGTGCCTGCTAGAAACGTAGCATCTTCTGAGAAAGGCAGGACCGCCATGCCATATAGCGCCAACCACCCAGGGTGGTTGGGTGGCACCCACCCCGATGAGATGGGAGAGTGAAGACAGGAGGTGGGCAGGTGGGCACGGACTGGAGGACCTCGGGGAAGCCGGGGTCTTAAACACAAGGGGACTGTCACCCTGGCCGTGGGCATTAAGTTTACAGGGGGCGAGATGTCCCGGTTTGGACTGGCCTTGCGGGGAGGCATTCAGGGGGTCTGGGGGAGGGCTCGGTCTGAACGTGGGGATTCTGACCCCTGGCCTGGCTCTCCCCGCTGACCTGGGTCCCGATGGGAGATCGGTAGGGCGGGGCGGGGCACCGGGCCACCCTCCCCGCCCCGCGTGCCCAGCGCTGGCCGCCGGCGCTGCCGAGCTCACCGTTGCAGAGGAATCCGGAGGTGCGGGGACACTGGAAGTTGTCATGTTCACAGAACCGCCCCTCGTAGCGGCCTTCGCCGTAGCACACGCAGTGGCCACACTGGCACTCGCCCTGCCCCGAGCACGGCTTGTCGGTGCCCTCCCGCAGGCACGGCTGCGTGTCACTCAGCGAGCCCGTGGAGCAGTTGCAGCTCTCGCCACTCCTAAGAGAGGAGCCACCGACTTGCTCACGGCCCCGGGAAGGGCTGGGCTTTTACCATCCCGTTTGATAGAAGAGGAAACTGAGGCTCTAAGAGGCCACGGTGGGTCCGAGTCACACCGACAGCAGTGGCTGAGCGGACTCGAACCTCAGACCCCTGAGATCCCCACCCACCACGTCCCTTCCTCATGAGACTTGTCCAATGCCTCGAAGCTTTGAAAGCCTAACCCATCACTTAGGCGCTCATTCTTGATCAGGTGATATGTACCCTTGGTTCAAAACACTCAAGGTACAAAAGGTAAGGAGTGAAAAGTCAGTTCCCGCCCCCCGTGCTGTCCCCAGACACCCAGTCCCCACACCCTGACGGCCACCAGCGTCCTGATTCTCGCATGTCTTACCGGAGATAAACTGCATATCTACACATTTCCAAGCGCTTTGAACTCATCCGCCCGACAACCTGGCGCGCCCCACTCCCGGCCCTCCCCGTGACCCGCCGCCCACCCTCGGCCGGGCACACACGGCGTGCCCAGGGCCGGGCGCACACTCACCAGCCCTCGTTGCACACACAGTGTCCACACATGAAGTCTCCGTGGAAGTGGCAGTGAGGGGACAGCACCTCTTTTTGCTAGAACGAGAACACAGTGGGGCATCGGGGGCGGGCAGGGCCACTGAGCACCTCTGCTGCCTCTGCCCTCACAGTGCCTTGTGAAGGAGGAGGCTCTGCTTCATCCCCCGGGGCTGGGGGCGGTGGCTCCCTGCTCCCGCCCAGGGCGGCGCTGCCGTACCAGCTCACAGGAGCACACGTCACAGATGATGCCTACGTCCATCCTGAGGCCGTCGGAGAAGGAAGGCTTCAGGTGGATGCTGCCTTGCTTGTCGTCCTTTGGCAGCTGACACACGTGCATCCCATCCATGTCCTCGATGGCCCGCAGCTGAACTTGGTAAGTGCCCTGTGGGGACCCAGCTGTCAGCCCAGCAAGCCCGGCCAGAGGACCAGGGCGGGCAGCTGTGCCCGCCGGCCTGCGACCCTCCAGCTGCGGGATGCCTGACACCCGGCTCCCTGCCTGCCCTTCCTCAGGGCTGACACCTCGCTTCTGCCAGGCAGTCGCGATGGCCATAACGAGAGCCTCCTTTGGCCCCTTCGCGCCTCTGAGCGACCCTCTGAGCTCTGTGCAGGTGAGGTCCTGGACACGCCGAGGAGGCCGCCAAGCCCGTCCACAGGGCTGACCCGGAGGCCTTCAGACCCAGGCCTGTCTGACTCCAGAGGCCACACTCTCGACTTCTGCTCAGGTAGGCCCCCCCACCCCCACCCCGCAGGGTGCTGTGCCTGCCCTCCCCACCCCGGGCCTCAGGGCAGCGTACCACTTCCCCCCTCCGAATATGAAAGGACCCAGACTTTGTCTTCTGGAACATCTTGGAGGTGACCTCTGTCCGCAGGCCACGGGGGCTGTCCAGGGCCCGGATGTCCAGGTTGGAGCGAATGCGCTGAAGGAGGGCAGGCGATCAGTGGTCTTGGGGGAACCCGGGCTTCCCCACCTGGCCTGGCCGGGCTGTGCTCCCCCACTCTGGCCTGGCCGTGCTCCCCCACGCTGGCCTGGCCTGGCTGTACTCACTCATGCTGACCTGGTTGGGCTGTGCTCCACCCCCACCTGCATGGAGGACTTGGGGTGGGGGGTTTGTGGTCAAAGTGGCAGAGCCCATAGGTGCCCAGGGCCACAGGTGAGGCCACAGGTGGTTCCCCAGGACCCCCAAGGACCCTTCCTCGCCAGCCTACCCTATCTCTCCACCCTGACCCAGGACATCCTTCGCCCACTCGGCCTCCCCCACCAGCCCTGCCGGGAAGGGCCGAGCCCTCGCGCCCCTCACGTTGAAGGCCTCCTGCAGCAGCTCCACGATGTTGGACGAGTCCTCCTGCAGCACGCCCAGCGAGGACACGGGGAAATACGTGTGCAGCTTCTGCAGGGGAGAGGGCCAGGCCCCGGGCTGAGCCTCGACAAGAACCGTCTCGTCGAACCCACACAACGACTCTGGGGTCACCCGCAGTTTGCAGAGGGGGTCACTAAGGCCTGGGACCTGCCGGTGTGTCCCAGAGCCTGCCCTCTGAGCCCCCATCTGCTTGGGAGCTGGGCTGGGGAATGGGCACACGACCTCCTCTTCCTGCCATGTCATCCCGGGAGGTGCCACAAGATTTGGGGAGGGAGAGGGTAAGGAAGAGGGGAGGAAGGAGCGAGGAAAAGGAGAAGGGGTCTCTGGGAAGTTCCATGGGCCTCCCGCTGCCCTGCCCAGCTCTCGCCCAGCGGCCCCGGACACTCCCCCCCACACACCTCGTAGTAGCTGTAGGAGTAGTTGGTGACAGCGAAGATGGGGATGATGTTGTGTTTGCCAAGCAGGCGCACCAGGGTGGGCACCGAGGGGTAGTCTTGAGTCTTGTACTGGGTGTAGGTGCCTGTGGGGTCCAGGTGGCACTTCTCGTCGTTGCGCCCCATGATGCCGGCCAGCACGTTGGCGCCGTCGGCCTCGTAGTGGAAGGCGGACTCGGTGGAGAACACCAGCAGGTGGGTGCTGTCAGGGCGCCAGCCGATGTCCCTCTGGGGACAGAGACCAGGGCACGCCCGTCAGCGGGCCGCCCGCCGAGGACAGCCACCGCGCTGCCGTGTGTGACGGTGAACGTCCCCAGCGTGGGGCGCTGCTAGGTCGCATGATGAGCAGCATGCCACCGTCGTGAACGACGCGTGTGACCGACAGCGCACGAGAGACCGCGGCGAGAAACGGACGCCGGTGACAGGGAAGGGGACGTGAACGTGGTCTGCGCACGCGGCGGCCGCCGTGCCGGGTTCATCCGACCGTCCCCCCGAGGTCACAACCACCGTCGGGAATGTTTTAACTGCATAGAAAAGTGCACCCCCTAGTTTACAGCCAAGCCGCCCTGAACGTGCCCGATCCCGTCTGATCTCGGAAGCTAAGCAGGGTCGGGCCTGGTTTGTACTTGGATGGGAGACCACCTAGGAAGACCAGGTGCTGTAGGCGTAAAAAATAAAATAAAATAAAAATAAATCAATAAAAAAGAAAAGCGTCGCCCAGGCAACGTTAAATGAAGAGACCCGTTGAAATAGGCACAGCGGTGCGTGGCGATTTCTTTGAAAATACTTGGGGTGATTTGAAAAACTGCGTGTTACAGCAGAGAAGATGTCTATGACAGGGTGAAACGAACAAAAGTTTCCACGTTATAAGTGCGCTGATTAGAACTATATAAAATAAGGGAATGAAACACGCTGGCGGATGTCAGTGGCTGCTGGTCTGCTGGCGGTGAAATTATGTGCAAGGTCTGTTCTCGGTTTTCCAAACTGCCTATTGTATGGGGGTATCATTTTCAAAATGAAAAAAACTGATGTGCACATCAAAAGAAGTGCTCTCTCCAGCTGCCCAGCACGGTTGGAGACTGGGCAGCTTGTGGGTCCTGGGAGGCTGACATTCCTGGGAAGATTGGGTGGGAGGCTGGCCTCAGGGCACTGAAGCTTCCAGAACCACAGGACTCACGTCTGCTTCACTGATCAGTGTGAAAGCAGGATGTGACTGCTCGGGCTAAGGGACCGTGGCTCCCAGCACATCTAGACCCAGATTGTAACTGAGGGCCGCCCAGAGTGTCTGAGCCCGTCTTCGTGGGTGGGGGCCTCTGCCCGGCACCAGGACAAGCCAGCGGGCGGCTCATGCCCTTGGAGAGAAACACGGCTGGCAGGACCCCCCTCGGCACTCACCGTGCACACGGCCGTCTGCAGGATGGCGTCGAAACCGCCCTCGGGGGCGTCCAGGTTACCCGAGATCCGCTCTCCCTGTAGTTTCCTCCGGAACTCGTCCACGTCGTCCGTCAGGCTGATGACATTCTTGAAGGAGAAGGGGGCATCACTGTGGGGCCAAGGCTCCTTCAGCCTGGGCAGAGGTGGGAGGGAGAGAGAGAGTCAGGGGAGCAGGCCCCGCATTCCCGCATGCCCACCCTCTGCGGGAAGCCTCCCCCTGGCTCCCGTTCAGCCCAAAGACTCGTAAGCGTCTGGGTGGAGGGGAGGTGGACCCATGGCCGAGACTCCTGCCCACGCGGTCACTCACTTCTCAGGCCTCATGTCCGTCTGAGGGACGCTGACTTTGTCCACGAACTTGCCAAATCCAATAGTATAGTCACTGGTGAGCTGGCTCAGGACCTGGGCTGGGCATCAACGGGAAAAAGAGGTACAGCTGAACCCCAACACCTCCACATTGACACAGGAGCCGGGAGGAAGAGGGAGAATGACCCTTGGTCAACACTTTGCACGCAGGACATGAGTCCACGCTCACTGTCGCCCTCGTCCTTATTTACAGATGAGGGGAGTGGGACTCGGGGGGCGCAGAGTCGCGCACGGAGCAGGTTGGAGAAGGCGGCCTTCTCAGGAGTCCCAGACCTTGAGGACCTTCTCCTGAGAATGTGGACAGTGACTGTCCTCCCTTGTGGGAGAGGTGCGGCTGTCCTGAGCCCCGGCCTCCCGAGCAAGGCCCCCCACTCGCCGCCAGCCCCTCAGCCTCCACGCCGGCCCCGCTGTACCCAGGTGCTGCCCCATCTGCTTCAGGTTGTCCAGATCGTCGGACATGGAGTTGGAGAAGTCCATGAGGATATAGAGGTCCACGGGGCTCTCCAGCGGCTCGAACACCTCCAGCTCAAAGTGCCGCTCCTCACCCGGCCGCAGGCGGACCCGCAGAGCCTGTGGGGACACCTGGCTGCGTCGCAGAGTGGTGTCGATCTGAGTCTCCTGTGATCAGGGGAGGGGAGACCCTGTCAGCCCAGCTAGGGACACAGCGAACCCCCATAAACAGCCAGCGCTGAGCAGGGACAGCCCCCCGCCACCCCTTGCTCTGAGCACCTCTGTGATCTCAAAGCTGCTCTCCATGACCATCACGCCCTCTGGCCGGCAGCCCGCGGCCAGCAGCTCCGTCTGGGTGTTGCAACGCCGTTCCTTGAATGTCTGGCCAGAAGGAGATGGGGTCAGGGGGCGTGGTGCCCGTCCCCTGGCTGTCCCAACCCTGGATTTAGTCCCCACCCCCGAGTTTCCTGGCCCTGGTCGGTTCCCCTACACCTGCCGAGGGTGTGGCCAGTGTGGACGTGGCTAGAGTTAGGGTGGGGCGTGGCGAGGCAGGGCTCCCAGGTGGGGAGGCGGCCCCCGGCCGGAGAAGGCAGCTGACCGGCGGCCGCTCACCTTGTCGGTGCAGTAGGCACAGTCCTTGTCCACGCGGATGCACTCGGTGCAGCTCTTCACCTGGGCTTTCTTACAGCGGTTCGCTGTGGGGAGAGGGATGGGCAGACCTGAGATGGGCCCCACCAAGCCCTTCCCCACCCACAGCCTCACTCGAGAGGTGGGGTGTCTCTCCCCAGTTCACGGAGGAGCTGTACGCGGGGGCGGCGGCTGCTACGTGGTCTGCCCCAGGTAGCACAGGGAGACACGGGCACAGCCAGGGCGCAAACCCGGACCCCTCCACTCGTGTCAAGACGGAAGGAGGGTGGGGACTGAGACACATACGCTGGCCCATCTGCTGGCGGGGACACCCTGGCCATCCCCTTGCCCACTCCTCCAGGGTAAAGGGGTCTGTGTCTGTCTTGTTCATCGCTGCGTCCCCAGGGCCCAGCCCAAGACCTGTCCCACGGTAGGTCGTTAGTAAATAAACGAGGTGAAATCCAGAGTCTCCCCAAAGGTTACTGGGCTTCCCTTTGGTTCTGTTCAGTTAAAAGCACAGTAGGGACCTGCTATGTGCACCTGGCATGCTCAGCGGGTGGTCTCCTGGGCCTCAGGCAATGGCGTGTTGTCTGCCTTTAACAATGACTCGGTGAGGCAGCGGAGCCCTGGCCGGCATTTGCCCATCTCCCTGGTGTAAACACTGCCCCATGGTCTACTTCAGCCTATCAACATGGCCTCGACTGACAAGTCAGATTTCGAATTTCATGGGCAAGAGCCAGCGCTGGCCACGTGCGGATGGCAGGCACTCGGAGAGCAGGCGACGAGTCACCGGTCCCTCTCTCCTCTGAATTCCTACAAAACTATCTGACTGCTCTCGAGGCCTCAGCACATCCTCAAGTGCCTCTGTCTGCTGCTGGGCGTCTTCTCTGTTTTCTAGGCCAGTTCTCCACCTCCCAGTGCCCTCAGGCCACACGGTCCCAGCTCACAGCTCCCCGGGCCTCACTGTGCTAAGTGGTCAGTTGTTGAACGGCCAAGTGTCCGGGGCGAGACACCCCGTGAAAGGCCCCTCTGTGAGGGCAGTGCCTTGAAGGTGTGCCCCCACCAAGAGAGGGGCCGCAGGGGCGTGCCAGACTCACCCATGTCCCCGGGGAAGCTGACGCTCAGCAGGGCTGCCAGCAGCAGCCTGGTCCACGGGCTGGGACGAGGCCCTGCCATCCTCTTCCTCCTGTATAACAGCAACAATCGACATAGGTGCCCCGTGCCATCAGCTCACCGGGTGCCCGTCAGAGCCCCACAGGAGAGGCACTAGGATTCCCATTGCACAGGTGTGGGGACTGAGGCTCTCAGAGGCCACCCAGCTTACGAGTCACAGGGCCCAGGGCCCCTGACTCCTCTTTCGTGCTCCCCCTTCCTTGCCACCTCTGGCGTGGGTATGCGTCCTACAGGCGGCACCCTGCCTTTGAGGACTCTGGGCTCTGAGCCTAACCCAGCTAGGTGCCCTGCAGGTGGCACCCTGCCCAGGGAGGTGCCCACCCTCTTGCCTTTGAGGACTCTGGGCTCTGAGCCTAACCCAGTGCCAGGTGTGTGCTGGGTCCCTGAGGGCAGAGCTGCTTCTGCCTTTGCCTTTTGGACCCCAGCGGGCCTGGGTCGGGCTTGGCAGGGAGAGAGCCACCCAACATGGGGGCTGCCTCCAGAGGGCCTGGCTCTACCTTCTCGTCCCACTTGCCCTCTGGTGAGGGTGGTGCAGCTAGGAGGAGAGGGGTCCCTCTCGACAGGTGGGGAGGAGGCAGCTGCTAGGTTCCTCAATGGCTATCTGGCTCATCAGAGGTGGGGGGCCCTGCCCTACCCGCCCAGGGCTAGATTACAATCCCCTCCTGCTCCCCACCCAACACGCACACACTGTGCCAGCCACCCCAGGAACCTCGTCTGCCTTGGGGACACTGTTAAACCATCTCGACTCATCAGCAGCCTACAGGGCAAGCCCTGGCATCCCTGAGGCCTTTTAAAAATGGGCGTCCTGCCGCCTCCAGAAGAAAAGGGACTTGCCAGAGCCACCAGGCCTGCAGAACAGAGGGTGGAAGTCAGCGTGCCTCTTTCTCTAGAGCCACAACCATACTATGCCCACTGCCTGCCTCCTTGGATCCTTTCTCAGTCCTGGGCTTGTGGAGCAGGGGCAGCTCCGGGCTTTGAAGGGCCGAGGCCCTCATGATGCTGCAGAGGCCCATGGGGCGGGGCGGGTAGGAAGGCATTACTGCCCCCCCTCCAATGCATGCGGCCCCCAGGAGGCCACTAGCAGCTCCACAGGCAGAGCCGGCTGGGGTACGGGAGCCCTGCACCAGCCGAGGGGCGGGGGCTCCTTTGGGGAAATGACTTTCCTGCAGCCTGGGGCAGAGGCACCACACCCACAGGCTACACAATACAGGCTGCAGACACAGGCCTCTCTGGGGCACCATTACACACGCAGGTGTGGGCACTGCAGGGCCGAGCCGGCTCTTACTCACCTTCCCATGCCCACAGGCTGGGCGCATAGCGGGCACCAGCCCAGCACTTCATGTATGGGATTGCTGTTTAATCTGCACAGGAACCCAGTGGGGGATGTGCATTGTCCCCATCTCCCAGAAGAGACAAGGCACAGGGCTGCCGGAATCCCCTGCCCCGCCACCAGCAGCAGGGGGAGCCTGGACGGGACCCCAGCGGCCCAGCCCCCTCCCATTTAACCTCCACATCATCCTCAGACACTGTAAGATGGCAGTTGGGAGACTAGCTATGCATTCACCTCGTGTTTTAAAAGTTTTGAAAGTTGTCGATGTTAAAAACAATGAGATTTCACATAACAGCACGGTGGGCTTGTCGGAAGATGTGGCCTCGGTGGGCTGGGCCAGGCACTCCCCAAACCACCCTGGGCTGCACCAGGCTGCTGGGCCTTATTATGTACCAGCCCGGTCCCTGGAGTGTGTGACTGCCACGCTGAATGTTGTCACACTGCGGCATACAGAGGCCTTCCACGCACAGGGACAAGACACGTGTGGACATGCACTGTGACCCAGACATGCAGAGGCTCAGAGCTCCCCCCACACCCACCCTCTCTCCCACCCCATGGGACCCCAGCTTGGCACATCTGTACCTGGCCACCATGGCTCGCTCTCCTCCCGCTTTCCCATCTCCTGGCGCCTCGGCCGCTCTACCACCCACGGACATCAGGGTCAAGGAGGCAGGCACCCCTACCCCGCTGACCCTCAAGTTCTCCTCTCCCCTCAGCCCCTAGGAGGGAGACCTTCGGCCTTCATATCCAGCTCTATTGGAAGCAGCAATGACCATGCCACTCGCGCCCAGTCCTGGGGCTCAGGGTGTGGCAAGGCCATGCTTCCTAGAGCAGCCACTGCTCTAGAAAGCCACGCAGGGCCACAAACAGAGGGCCACCCAGGGGCCAAGGAGTGGGAAAGGGGGCTGGCACTGGAGGTTACAGTGGTGGGCACAGCCCCCAGGGCTGTCGGACGAGGTCGGGAGAGCTTCCTGGAGGAAGGGTGTCCTGAGCCGACTTTGTGGGGAGGGCAGGCGTGTGCTTGGCCCAGAGAAGAGGGAGAGTCAGGGACTCCCCAGACCCCAGCTGGACTGTGCACCACACAACGGGCCCTGCCCAGTCCAACAGGAAGAGTCTTTGCCTCTACATGGCTGTTCCTTCCACCTTCTTTGCAAACCCTGGAGGGGTCCAGGCCAGTAGGCCTGCCAGCCCAAGCTGGTTTCTGCCCACTTCTCCTGAACACCCACTCAGCACCCAGGCCTCCCCCTCCTGCTACCTCCTCTAGCCCGGAGGTCTTACCGCCCAGAATCTTCTCCAGCTCCCCTGCCCCTCCACCCCCAGCTGCACCCCGGGCACACCCTGGCAGGCTGGGCACCTGCCCTGGGCAATACAGGCAGAGGCGGCCAGCGCCTGCCAGCCTTCAGGAAGGTGAAGAGCGGAGTAACAAAGGCCAGCTGCCGTCCTAACCCGCTCCCCTGCAGCGGTGGCCCGGGCTGAGGTGAGCATTCACTCCTCCCAACGACCAAGGTCCCAGAATGGGCACCCAGCCCTGGCGGCTGGGGGACCTGGAGGGGCGGGAGGGGTGCGGCCGCGCCACCCGTGACTGCCCTCTGCCCTGCGCCCCGTAGCCCCGGCGCCTGCCGGGTCTGGGTCGAAGGCTGCACCTACCTCCGTGCGGACTCGCGTCCTCCCGGCGCTGGGCTCGGCTCGGCCGCTGGGCTGCAGGCGCGCTGGGAGGTG